CCCCAAAACCCCAAAACCCCAAAACCCCAAAACCCCAAAACCCCATAGAATAATATAAGTATATTTTGAGAGTTTAATGAAATAATGATCTTAAGTTTTCATCAGAATTAATTAACTGAAATTAAACTTAGATGGCTTATGTAGCTATCTAAATCAGGCATTTAGTTTATAAACACCTTGAAATTATTTTGATTTCCCTTATGAGAATTATTATTTAAAAATCATCACTGGCATTAAGGAAGAGTATATTCCTCCCAGGCAAATCGTGCTTCTTCAGGATAGAATGTGAACAACTGCCCCTTTTCATCAATGAATATCCATTTCTTCAATTTATCACAGTAAAATTTATTCTGAAGTCTTTAAGAGAATTTAGGATTCCCTACTAGCTACCTACTAAGCTCAACCTCATTAATCACTACTTTCACAGGGTAATCTCTATATAGACCATCTTCATCTGGCTGATCATCTGTTTCCCAAGTTAAAGTAAATTTATGAAGCTTCTTTGCCGATGGATTGTAACAGCTAGACCTGCGCATCTGCAATGGTTTAGCTTCACCAAAGAAGTAAAAGGAGTTTTCATCTGCTTTATCTTAAAATACCACCACATTTGAAAAGGACTTTTCTGATTCGTAAGCCAATTTTTAAAATTCTGAATCTACCCTTGTCAAATCAATATACTCAAAATAGTCTCTATCTCCGAATACTACAAACAAATAGTCCTTCATAATGAAAGTAGAATGGCCAGTCCTGAATTCTAAATTAGGTGGAAAAGCATCTAGTTCCATCAAAGTCTCCCCTTCTTTGCCTACTGATAGAGTGATAATAAAATTAGTTTTATGAGGATCTCCCATAGTATTCTAAGGACATATAACTATTATCTAATTGCCTTAGTATACAGCAGCTGAGTACTAAGTAATCTCCAAAGGTTTTGATCTGATTTGAGGCATCTAAAGAGTTCCAATTTCATAAATTTCATCATATTTCTGCTCATATTAAATTATCCTAGTACACTATCTGTTTGATCCGAGTATTACAATCCAATTTTCTTTTTTACCATTATAATTGTTAGGCACTTACAGTTATAAAATCTGAAAGCCATTCTTATTCTTACTTATCTTACCCTTACTCTCAAATATTTCATATTCTCTTCTAATCCTGTCCTTGACATTAAGATCAACCAGCATTAAGTCACTTGGTCCTTTAAAATACAATAACAACTTGTCACTGTAAGCAAATGGTCTTGAATCATCACTATTCTTTTTAATTTAACTTTAAGTTTAGATTTGAATCTTAAGTTGCTAAAGTGATTGAGTGGAAGAATTGGTTTTGATCTTTTTAATTTCCTGCTAAAAACTCTTTGTCTAATTTTTTTGACTTCTTTTCTTTGAAACTAATCTTGATTTTCTATTTTTTCTACCTATATTTGATTGTCCTCTGTGGATCTTTTAATTTGATTTGTTGGGGCTTGTGTTAATAGACTGACTCACTATAAGAGTCCTATTCGCCGGTTTTTACAAAGTATTCTAGGTATTGATAATTATCTTAGTTGATAAATTTTCATTTGAATATTTTTAGTTATTTATCAATCCTTGAGTTTATTTATTGTAATTATTTTAAAGACCTGACAGATCTATTTTGATGATATCCTTCACCTTCTGAATGTTTTCTAAATTATTATCTGACTCTCTAATAATTGAAACAGGTTGAGCCTCACACTCTTCAGTATCTGAAATATAGAAAATCTTTTAATTTTCCTCGAAATTCAAGATTTCCAGAGACTATATATTAAAGATTAATAATGATCAAGTAAAATGTAAAAGGGAATTACTTACTTTGCGATACTTCTCAATCAGAGCCTTTTTAAACTCTGAATTCTTGATTCTTCTCTTTCCTTCATTGCCCTCACTAGACTCTGTATTTTGTAGATCGTCCAATTTTAATTAGATGTTGAGCTAATGATCATCTTTATTGTATAGAAATTTCTCTGCTACTTCCATTTTTTCTAAATAACTATCTATCATTTTGCCAAAGACCTCCTCTAGCATTTTACTCTTCTCTTTCAAGAATTAGTCTTCTAAGAAGTGGTAGTCGTCATCTTTAAACTCTTCATCTTATTCAATTTAGACGAAAAACTCTTCAACCATTTGATCAATATCTATATGCTCGTAGAAGCACTTAGTTATTTCTTTCTTCTGTACTTTAATCCATTCGTTAAATAAGTGTGCCAACTTCTTAATGTAAATGCTTGACTGCTTCTGCAGCAGCTCCTTGAGTTCATTTTGCTTCTCTATGTTTTCACTCATAACCACTGATAATTTTCCATTATCGGAGGGAATATTTGAAAGTTTGCGTACTCCTTGGCTATTAGCCTGTTAATTTTTGGCTTCTGATGATTGCTCATTCGATTCAGAGTATTCAAAGCATTAATGATCAGTAATGCAATCTAGACATGCAATTTCAGAACACTCCAGACATAAAAAACTAGGGGTCAGATGCTGATGTAGTTAATTTGCTAAAGATTAGTTAAATTCGTTCAGTATTAAATCCATATGATCTTATTTATTCAAATACTATATATTAATTTTTATGTTAAATCAAACCTCCTCCTTTTCACACAATATTTAAATTACCTCTTCTTGGGGTTTTGGGGTTTTGGGG